TTTTAAAAGCTATTGTAACTTTGAAAATCAAATCTTAACTTGAGAAAAAAGAAACAAATTCTATGTTTTTGAACGACTCGCACGAGATGGTGCGAAGTTATATTGATAGAGCAGGAAAAAATTACAAGATTACAACCCTGGAGAGAGTAGTAACCAGGAAAAAGTATATACCACCTCCCACACACCGACAGTGCCAACACACAAGACTGGGAGAATACTAACACCGGACCGGTCGCCGCTAAGCGTGACCGACCGCCGCTAGACCTACAAAGGCACACAACCGAAATCGCCCAAAAGAACACCCTCACAACCAACACAAAGCTAACTCCTAGAGCATGCTTGCACCAATCGATCGAGCGGCTTCGGCTAGGGGATGCCAAAACGACGTCTTTAAGAGGAGAAGTGACGGAAAAACCGCCGCCGCCATCTGTCGGGGCTCAAAGGAGCCAAGACTGGGCTTTCGCCTGGCAACCACTTTTGAGGGATGAGACAGCACGACAACGCCCTCAGGAGGGGGAATAAATGATCGTTGTCGGTCCGGCCAAGGCTAGACTGGGTTTTCACCCGCTGCACACCACCTGCGAATCCACGGCTGACGCCCCGATGCTCCACCACCACTCAACCTTTGCCGACATGTGGGACCACTGCACCGGCGCCCCCCATCGGCCAGCCTTCGTGCGCCAAAGACCACGCCACATCCACCGGCAGCCCCTCCTCGCACCGAGGTCGCCTCCTCCACCGCCGGCCGCGCCTCTCGTGCCAAGCCGGCCTCCTCCACCGGATGATCCTCGCGCCAATCTGGCCTACCTCCATCGGCCACGCCTCTCGCGTCGAGCCGGCCTCTGCTGCCATCGGCTGCGCCTCTCTACGCCAAGCTAGTCTCCAACCCCTCCTCCAAACGCTACCGCTCCAGCTAGATGTAGCCCTCTGCCACGCCCTCGACTAGCCGTCCGAAGCCGCCATGCCTGCTTTCACCGCCGCCGCCATTGTTCTTTCGCAGCCATCATCGCCCGTTTCCGGTCGGCGACACCGCGTTCGCACCCCCCTGGACTCCTCCTACTTCTCCGCCGCCCAATGCCTTTCCCGCCGCAGCATCCGCCACCGTTGCCAGCTGCCGCTGCCGCCGCCGTTGCCAGACTCCGCCGCCCCCACCGCAGGCGCTTCCTCGCCAGTCGCCCCCACAGCAGCCACCGCCTCGGCAGCCGCCTCACCGTAGCCGTCGACTCGTCGCCAACCGCCACCCCAGCAGCCGCCCCCACCGTCACCGCCTTAGCAGTCACCATAGCAGCAGCCGCCTCACCACCAGCCCCCGCCTCGCTTGCAGCCCGCCGCTGCCGTCACCTGCCGCCGTTGGCAGCTGTAATCACCACCAACCGCCGCCAGCCAGCCGTCGACCATATCTGGTCGCCGCTGCAGACGCCAACGAGCCGCAGTTGCCACCACCCGCCGCCGCCACCTTCATTCCCCGCCGCCGGCTGCTGCTCCCCCATATCCGGCCGGCCACGGCGCAGATCTGGGCACAGCCGCTGCTGCTTCGAGCGATGTCCCCAGCCGCCGGGCGCGGGCGGCGGTGAGGCGGGGGAGGAGGCGTTGAAGGGGAAGAAGGCGGCGACGGCGTCACCTCCCGAGTTGCCCGGGGAGGATGACGCGAGAGGAGAAGTTTTTCTTTAGACTTTGCGACGTATATGCATCTAGTGTTAATCAGGAAACAAATTCTTTGGAGAACAATTCAAAATAATAATATAATCAACTCTAATTTGTAGAGATGGCTATCGTAAATTGCATGCGAAAATAATTTATATATGCGACAGGCTTAGGCCCTCTTTGTTTAGGCTTATAAGCCAACTTATAAGTCGAAAAGTTTAAGCCTAAATAAATAAGCGGCTTTTTTGTTTGGCTTTTCTGAAGCCATAAGCCATTCTAACACTATTAAGCCAAAAGCTAAGTTAGAGAAGCTTTTTTAGCTTATATGAGGTAGATGCATGATTCCACCGTTAAACATAGGACATTCAATCCACCGGCTTATAAATCATATAAGCCAATAAATTGACTTAAAAATCTAAGCCTAAAGAAAGAGGTTAATGCACCAGCTGTAGGTCCCTCACCCCCAGCACTTTTACGGTACATTCTACTGCTAGTATATACTACCAGTATATACAAGGGTAGTTTTGGTATTAGGTAAGAGTCTGAAAAAGGCTTTTTGGTCATTTAAATTAGAGAATTAATTTCACCCGGGTTATTTTTCCTTCATTAGCTTTTTCTGTGGATGTCGTCATCCGCTTCTTCTCGATACAACTCGCGTCTCCGGCGTCGTTGCCCCTGGCGCACATCGCTCCCGCGCCGACTCCTCTCGCGTCTCCGGCGTCGCTGCCCGCCGGCGCCTCCGTACTGATTCCTCCGGCGCCGGGAGAAGCTGATCCTCCACGCGCCCGGCGTCTCCCTCGTCCCCAGCGCCTTGCCTCCAGCCCTAGCCTATTCTCTCCCGCATCCGACCTCTCACAGCTTGTTCCTTGCCCAAACCACGGCGGTGAGAGTGCACTCGTCGAGCCGGCAGCCTCCCCACGCCTCCCATCTCCGTCCTGGTTGCCCTGCCTGCCCTGCAGCCACTGGAGTGCTCCTGGTAAGACGCTGACCTAAATTTGGTACGATTGTATTGATTAATTAATGCAATGGTTGTTTTGTTCTGCAATTTTTGTTGTGCTTAACCTTAATGTCGACATGAAAATTTACTATCTCATTATGAAAAAGAGGTGAGATTTTATCTTGTTGATTGACTTTGTTTTGGAAGATCTGCCTTAGAACACTAGGTTGTATTTGATGAGACAAGTAGGATGAAAATCTGCATTCTGCAACTAGAATCGCATTAATCCTAGGTATATAGCTGGATGAGTGTGCTATGTAAAATTAATGTAGCAGAGGTGCAAATTGTGCAACTTAAATTTGGTTTAAATTAAGGTATTATCCATATATGTAATAAAGCTGGTTCCATCGAACGTTTATATCATAGGTTATCATAAATTATTTGTTTTAATATTTGCCAATAGTCTATCAAGCCTTTATTACTTTGTAATTTGCAGGATGTTTTTCGCAAAGTTATATCACTTTTATCATAATTCTTACATGCAATTTTCGAATTGTGTTGTGATCTGTGTGTGAAAAATCTCGTCTTTGTAGACACTTGATTTATGTGAAGACTTGCAAATTTGTAAAGATTTTTGTAAGTGATGTATGAAACGCAAGATGTTAACCTATATTTTATTTATGCTGATATGTTTGTTCTCTTTGTGTATTATTACTGTGTATTAACAGTGTTACACAATGGATGAGGATGAAGTTAGCTTGGAGGAGATGGAGGAGTATAACTTGGTTGCTAGTAAGCTTTTTAGAAGCGAGGAAGATGGTTACAAGTTTTACAATGAATATGCAAGGTGTAAAGGTTTTAGCATTAGAAGGGACAAAGTGAAGCGATTTAGTGGTACCGAGCTAGTGTTCTGGAGGTGATTTTATTGCTCATGTGAAGGGATTTTATTGCTCATGTGAAGGTTACAGGACGTTAAAAAACTTTGAGAGAACCAATAGGAAAAGGGAGCCACGTGCGTTGACCCACTGTGGCTGTAAGGCAATGCTTGAAATTGAGCTCAATGGAGAGACCGGAATGTGGTTTGTATCAGGTTTTGAAGCTAGACATTCACATAGACTTGCTAACCCTGACCTGGTAGCTTTCTTAAGATCTCATCGCGAGGTAAATGATGCTCAAAAAGCTGAGGCCGTTGAGCTTGGAGTTGGCGGGCTTCGAACATGTCAAATAATGTAAGTAATGGAGAAGAATCATGGTGGGTATGATAAGGTTGGGTTCGTAATGCGAGACTTGTACAATTTTTTTGCCCGGTACAAGAAGAAGAGATTTAAAGGTAGGGACGCTGATCTCGTGGTGAACCATCTGATGGCTCAGCAAGAACAAGACCCATATTTTTTCTTTAGATACAGTATAGATGAAAAAGGTCGTCTCAGGAATTTATTTTGGGCCGACAGTCAATCCTAGCTTGACTATGAAGCATTTGGTGATGTGGTAATATTTGATAGTACATACCATGTGAACCGGTACAGTCTTCCATTTGTTCCTTTTGTTGGAGCTAACCATCATCGCAGCACAATTATTTTTGGGTGTGGTATATTGTCAAATGAGTCTGTTTCTTCATATGTCTGGCTGCTACAAACTCTTTTGGAGGCAATGCACCAAAAACATCCGAAATCATTGATCACTGATGGGGATGCATCAATGGCGAAGGCAATTACAAAGGTTATGCCCAATACTGATCATAGATTGTGTAGTTGGCACATTGAGGAGAACATGAAATGTCACCTCCGTCGCCAAAAGCTTGCAGATTTTAAGAAATTCCTTTATGATGCTATGGATGTTGATGACTTTGAGAGATGTTGGGTTGAGTATAAGGCCAAGTATGGATTCAATGAAAATAACTTATGGATAAGCATGATGTACGAGCTAAGGAAGAAGTGGTCCACTGCATATATGAAAGGGACACGCTTCCTTGGAATGCGGAGCAACCAACGGAGCGAGTCTTTGAACTCAAGGTTGCATAGGCATCTTGATCGAAAGATGTCGCTGGTCGATTTGGTTGAGCACTATGAGTTTTGCTTGTCACGTATCCGTAGGAATGAAGCCGTGCTGGATGCGAGAGCGTCGCAGTCTGTCTCGTTCACTACAATATGTGCTGACCCACTAGAGAAAAGTGCGGCACGTATTTACATGCCGGCCATGTTCAAGAAGGTCTGGGCAGAGATAAGGAAGCTATATGAGTGGGAAGTTTTCAATGTGGCAAGACAAGATGGTGCTGGTGTGTTTACCGTTGCATCAAAAGACAACAATGTTGTGCAGGTTCATGTGTGGTGTACTTTTGAGGAGCAATCGATGAATAGTGCCAATTGCGATTGCAAAAAGCTGGAGTGTGACGGCATCCCTTGCTCTCATGTTTGTGCTGTTCTTAAGTTTCTTGGTGTCGGCACTATTCCTCATTGTTGTGTTATGGTAAGGTGGACAATGGATGTGAAAGCGGCATTTGAGTCAGATAGAAGTACCAACACTCATGTGTGGTCTGAGCAGATGGATTGTTACCGTGACCTGAGAAACATGAGTAGTCTTGCTTTATTTATAGCCTCTAAATCATCTTAGAAGGCAGAAAAGGTAAGAAATTTCTTTCGGAGTATTATGGAGGAAGACTCGGTGAACCCCAATAAAGAGTGGCCGTTTGGTCCTTTGCCAGCGCACTATTCAGCATGTAACCAACCCCACAGGACGAGAGTCCTTGATCCTGAGGTGATTACTTCTAAAGGTGCCCCGTCAAAGAAGAGATTGAGGCCAATCAGTGATTCTTGGAATAGAAGAAACCATTGAATACACTGTAAGCGAACTGTGTGTGGTATGTATAACAGGTCCCTAATTCCTGCTTATTTTTGACTCAGATTTGGTGTGAATCGATGTCTACATTACTTATGGTTGGTGTGCATGATCCCCATATGCACACATATAACTACTGTTTAATTTAGTATGCCCATATTCAACAAAGAAGGTGTATGTGAAGTTAGCATTTGATTTCCTCTTTTATATGAAACCTGAAGCTAAGCTCTGAAGCCAGTATATAATCCAGTTAATGAACAATTCCTGATTTTAGGCTTAATCGACTGAAATGTAAGTACCTCTCCCAAATATAACACTTGTCACAAAAGTATATAGGGGTTTGTACAGAATATAGTTTACAGAAGTATATACGGATTTGTTTTGTTGGTGCTGCTTGCTACTTGATGCTGGAGCTGATGAATTAATCAATAAGATGCTAACAGAGGCGAATTAATTATGCAGGCTTGTGATTGTCCTGATGATGCTTTTGAAGGGGAAGACTGGAAACGATGGTTGACACTGCTGCCACTACATGAACTGCATGCCAACATCCAGATGGAAGTGCAGTATTTAGATGCTTCAGAATTTCGATAGCTCTTCTGGAAATAACAAATATTGTTCGGGAACCAAAAATTTATGCTTTGTAATTTGAGCTTTTGACAGATGTTTATTTCAGACATATTGATGAATTTTATAGGAGTGCAGACATATCGAAATACAAACTGAGATGATAAAACCACAAATCCCTTTCATCTACAGGGCATGATGCCGAGAGATTGGCTCTCCTTTTCCTTTGAAGTGATTTCATCACATCACCTGGGATTTTATCATCTTTCATATACTGCTACTCGGCTGAACTATGTCCATCTCTTCAGAGTAGAATTTTCCAGTGCAGCGCAATATCCTGTTATTACTGATATAACAGAGCAGTTCCTTCTCTGCAATAGTCTGTTCTTAGAACAAGGGCATCTTTTACGATAAATATAATTTAAATGATAATTATTCGGATGCTACGTGCAAAGAAAGTTACAAATTGTATACTAATCAATTTCCAAAACTCATTTGTCATGTATATATACGACTGTACGTGAATGACCTTACGATTTACAATGTGAACATGGTACAATAAGCACAGCACTGTTGGCCGTCAGATCAACAACATTTTAATAAAAATTTTTCTTTTGCAAATGGTTTCTTTGGCCTTGAATGATCTGATTGGGCAAGCAAATGACAAACTCTTGTGGAAAAATTAAGAGAATTTTAAAACTGCAGTCCAAGGCCATGCAAAAGTCCAAGATACAATCCAATTCACAAATCTTCCATTTTTTTAAAAAAAAGAAGTTGAGAAAAGCACATTATCCATGTCTGAACAATCGAAAAATATCATGTGCGTGCAGAGGAAAAATATAAATTCAGTACGAACCCAGTAACAGATCGTATGTTAGCTCTTGCAAAGTACAAGCTCAAATACAATTAGAGGAATAAAAATCCCTCTTGGAATTCAGATGATGTACTCCTATATCCAGATTGAGCAATAATAATTCAATCAATAGTTCAAACAATAAGATATCAGAATCTCAGGATACAATTTCATTTTTAGCTGGCCCACCTAATTAATCCTGAATCGGAACATATTTTCACAGTTCATACTTCATGTCGTTGCTACTGTCTTATTCGGCCACTACTACTAGTACTACTACCACATGACTGATATTGTTGGTCAAATTACAGAAAAGGAAACAGACTCCAATGTATTGCCATTTGAACACCACCCATTGTACTGATGATTACTGCCTGCTTAGCATGTCACATTCTCAGCAACATGTTGTGACCAAAGCCTGTCAACCTCCAGCACAGGAAGATGGTTTCCAAACTCCTGCAAGCCTAGAAAAGATCTCCGGTTAGCTCAATCTACAAATGATTCCTAAAATAATATGGGTCCTTTATTCTATGCGCGGTGGAAAGATAAAACCTAGAATTTTAATAGACCAGCTCCGGAAAGACACGGACTAAATATTTAATTCATAAAAAAAAACATTCGGTTGTGCAAGCAACAGGTAAGTGCAAGTATTTGCTCGCTCATTAAGCTGCAGAGTTCAATATGTATCTACAACAATTATTCTACGATTCCTAAAATAATATTGTAATAATTATTCAATCATATTTACAAGAGAGAATCCCTTATATGCCACTCTAAATTAACCGGCTCCCTTATATGCCACTTCAAATTGGCTTCTCCCTTTTATACCACCGGTTCAAGTTTCTCCTCCCTTTTATGCCATTGTCGTCAGTCCACCGTCAGTTGACCATTAACTTCTTTGTAAAAAGACGCATTTGCCCTTTAGAATTAGTATACAACCAATAATAGGTATTTTAGTACTAATATAGCTACTGGATACAACATATAAAAATTGATTTTTTTCTGCATCACATGCAATTTTAGCCATTACCATCACAAATAAATTTTCAATGTAAGCATGAAACATGCAGTTTTCCAACAATATTTTTAATATAAAGAGAATTTTTCACTGGTTCTGACAAAATTTTATTCACTCAAAAAGGATTTAAAATAAATTAGTTATGATTTTTCGAAGTTTACACATTTTTTAGTTGAGAGGGCATATTGGTCATTTAAAAGAAACTAACCTTTGACTAACAGTCAACTAACACTATAATGATGGGAGTGGCATAAAAGGGTGGAAAAACTTGAACTAGTGGCATATAAGGGAGAAGCCTATTTTGAGTGGCATACAGGGGAACTGGTTAAATTCTAGTGACATATAAGGGATTATCTCTATTTACAATTTACATTACAATTTACATTGTGTCTTCATTGAATCATTGTGATTTCATTCAACCAGACCACACAGATATGCTCTATTCATGCCCTTTATGACCTCATCGCAACCTTCAGTGTTCCTCAACGAGAAGCTGTACACAAATGTGGCTTCGGAGGATTGCTGAAGATACATAGGATAAATGTACACCGTATTTTGTGCATGTGGATTGCAAACCAATTCGATACAAAGGCTGAAGCATTCAAAATCCAAGGTAGCTATCTGAGTCTAACCAATAGGGACGCTGAACATTTGCTTGACCTGCCATCACAAGGAGAAGAAATATTTGAACCACCACAGACCAAGAATAGGGACTTGTTTGATGAATTCAAGACAACATCTAAGCAAGGGGCACATATAAAATTATCTCTGCAAGAGTATTTTCAAACAAACAAAGGTATACATGACGACAATTTCATTCATCGTTTCGTGCTCTTTGTGATCGGTGTTTTCCTGTGCCCAACTACTCAAAGGTATGTAAGCTCGGCATACCTAAATCTTGTGGAGGATGTCAATGCAATCAGTGCAATTAACTGGACAAGCCTGAATTTAAACCACCTAATGAAAAGCATTAAAAATATTTCAACAATAAAAGGAGTCAATCTTGAAGGAAACCTACCACTTTTGCGGGTAATGCAACTGCACAAATATTATTTTGTACCAACCAAAGACAAATTGTTTTTACTCAATTGTATTTCTTGCAGTTATGGTACTGGGAGAAGCTACGAGCTGACAATTTGGATCCAACCATAGATTATACTATGCGCGACAAACCACTTATTCAATACTGGGACAAGCACAAGGCAAAAAAAAGATATAAAATCGATACTACATATGACTATGGTAAAGGGAAGGTAATATGCAATCATTTTAATCCCACTTAAGTCTAGCCTATTGTTGGCGGATGGCATGAGGCCCTTCGACCAAACCTGCCGAAACCCATGGCGAAGGCTATGGAGCAAGAATGGCCCAAGGGAAGAGTAGCGCCAGGCCAAAGGCGTCTTAGGCGAAGGGTGCAAGGCGAAGACTGTCTGCCGAAGGAGGATGACTTCGCCTTGACAAATCGCTCCCGCGAGGGCTGAGGAAGCCCTCCAGCCCATCAGGCCGGCGATCGCCAGACGGCCCATCAGGGGCCCATGAGCCCCTATAACATTATGTACCCCTGTAAATATCCCTTTTGTAAGGGTAATCATGTAAATTCCCCTATGCAACCTAAACCCTGGTAGTAAGAACCTGTAATGGGGCTATAAATAGTCCCCTAGGGCCATGTAATGGGGGGATCCCAAGGGAAATCCAAAATTTAGTACACTTCATTTTTCCAACCACTGTTGAGTAACCACGTCTTTCGACGTATGCGGTTGTCGTTTCGACAACAGCTGGCGCCGACCATGGGGACTCCGAGCGAAACCACTCAGAGCGAATGCCACCGAAGAGGGTCGTGAAGGAGAAGGTTGTCAGGCGGAAGGAGAGCGACGCCGGACCGGACATGGCCGCCGAGGAAGGAGCAGAGCCTTCGGCGTCCGTGGCCGAAGATAGAGAAGCACAAGCGCCATCACAGCCGCCTTCGGACCCCGCGCCATCACAACCGTCTTCGGCCCCAGCAACCTCAGTGCAAGTGCCGAACACGGCTGACGTGGCGAAGGCGGCTGCGGCGGCAAGGGCACTCCAGACCAGGGCGGAGATCCTTTCGACTAACCAACTGGTGGTGCCTCAAGCCGCCCCGTCGCAGCCAACGGCGCCAACTGCGCTCACTGTTGTACAGGCCCAAATCAGCCTGGACCCCGAAGCGCAAGCCGAAGCCGACATAGAAGCCATGCGGCAGAACATGACACGGCTCCAAGACATGCTTCGCCAAATGCAAGAACAACAACAAGCATACGAGACGACAAGGCGGACCAAGGCCACGTCGGCTCCAATCCTTCAGTATTCGGCAGGCTATGCCCCACCTCAAGTCCAGCCGCAAGTGGTGACCCAGTCCTCTCCGCCACTAGCCGCACAGCCGCCGGTGTACTTCGCCGGGCAGCATCAACCACCTGGCCAAGCGCCACAATCAGTGGCGGAAGGGGCTTCGGCTCTGCAGGCGCAACTCCAAGCTTTCCTTCAGCAACTCAACCAATCCCACTACATTTCAAGCACAACCCCATCGGCTCACCCGGTGGGGAATACAAGTCAAGGTGCGCCCAATTGGTTGCCACCAATTCAGCCAGGTTCCGGACCTTCGCCGTCGAGTCAAGGACCGCAGTTCGACTTCGTCAACACTGTTCAGGTGCCAACCGTTCAGCAGCAAGTTCCAACCCCAGGCTTCGGAACAAACCAAGCACCAATCCAAGCTGCCATGATGTGGTCGCAGCCAATCTTTGACCCATCCATGGCGGCCCAACAAGTACAACCAGTTGGAGCCGGGCAGTCGAATGCCACGGCCCAACTCTACGCACAAGCAGCGATTTCGCCCTTCGCCACTCCGTACCCGCAGCAAGGTGCGGTAAACAGGGCGGGAGGCGAAAAGGGGCTGCCGCTGAGTGGGGGAATCAAGACTCGTCCAATCCCGCCCCAGTTCAAGTTCCCACCTGTCCCGCGTTATTCGGGTGAAACTGACCCGAAGGAATTCCTCTCCATCTACGAGTCAGCGATCGAAGCAGCTCATGGTGACGAAAATACCAAGGCGAAGGTAATACATCTCGCTCTAGACGGCATCGCCCGTTCTTGGTATTTCAATTTACCAGCCAATAGCATTTACTCATGGGAGCAATTGCGCGATGTTTTTGTCCTTAACTTTCGAGGCACCTATGAGGAGCCGAAGACGCAGCAACACCTTCTTGGCATTCGCCAAAGGCCGGGGGAG